GTTTTTGCTCTTGCTCATGATCATCCTCGCGCGCGACGACGTCTTCCCGCAGGCCGTCCGCGACAACGTGGCCTATGTGATCGTCGCCATCAACATGATCGTCTTTGGCCTTCTCGTCGTCCGGCAGCTCTACATGACGATCCACAAGATAGTGCGCAACTGCAAGGCCAAGAAGTCGAGCCACTCGGACGACGAGAACGAGCGCGCCGACTTCAACCAGGTCGAGTCGCCAGCCCGCGCGCAGCACCCAAAGAGCACCCACCAATCCGACCTCGAGCGCGGCCAAGGTCGCCCGCAAGCCGCCCTCGAGAATGCGGGGTCGCGTCCAGGCGCCAACGGGTCCATGCGCGATGGACCGAACGCGTCGCTGCAAAGTGGACAGAATACGCACCAGCTCGGCGGCTCGATGCGGGCCGACCCGTCGCGTTCGGCACCCAATGGCCATCTGCAAGGCGGCGCGTCGATGCGGTCGGGTCTGGACGAGTACGGCCGTCCGCTGCCCAACCAACCGACACCACCGGGCTCGCTGCGGTCGGGCCAGAGCTCGCTGCCCGGAGCTGCGCATGATCCCGGCAATCTGCGCACCAATCCGACATCGTCGCTTCCCGGAAGCAACCGCGCACCTTCAATTACGCCTCCTGGTTCGCTCCGGACGGCGCCGTCGTCCGGCGGCAACTTCCGAGGACCGACACAAGGAGGTGTGACGAGCGGTCCGCCACGGTCGGGTGATGCATCTATTGGCGCTTCAGCCCTTGCTGCAGGTGGTGCCGCGATCGGTGTTGCCGCAGCGACGAGTCGGCGTCGGGAGAAGGAGCTGGCGCCAAAGCGTGGGTCGTTGCCACCGCCGTGGTCGGGCGACGCGTATGCCGAGCCCAACACCGCGGTGGTCATGCCCGAGTACGATCTCGACAAGGAGCTCAACCTTCGCGACGACGACGACGGCAAGCAGCACCTCAACGCGTCCTTTGCGAGTAGCAGCGACTCGTACGACCGCGCGTCGTCGGGCTACGGCTACTCGGGCAAGCTCTCGTTCGCGTCCGTGAGCGACCAACCCTTTTCCCGCGCGATGGCGTCGCCGCCGCCGCTTCTCGAGCGCGACTCGCACTCGGTGAGCAGCACGTCGTCGTCGCGGGAGGCGTCGAGCCGACTCGACGCGCTCGCCGCCAAGTACCTCGTGGAGGACCTCTCACACAAAAAATCGCCCGTCGACATGAACGATGCCAAGGTGTCGATGGTCGGGAGTCTGCCACTTAAGGAGTCGCTCGCGTTCATTCCGCGGCCACTTGTCGCGTCCAAGAGCTTGGGTCTCGAACACACATCCACGACGACCACGGACACCGACGACCAGACGACCAAGCGGCGCACGCACTCGCACAACGGCGTGTACCGGCGAAGCAGAGACGACGAGTTTGATGAGCGCGACCGCCGGTCCATCGACAGCTCCGAGGACGAAATCGAGCTGTAGGGCAATATGCTGTCTCGTACGGCGACACGAATAAGATTTACATTGCATGTGCGAATGAGGCAACGCTGAGGCGATGACGACGAGCGGGTCACGCCACCGAAACACTAGCGTCCGAAAAAGCGGGGTTACTCGTGCGGCAGCATCGTTCCGTCTGTGACACGTGACGTTCGCGCGGCTTCGCCGACCAGCTAAACGGCTTGGTATTTATGCGCAATGCAGCTCGTCCTTCCTCGTCGTTCGTGCAGTAGACTGTGGAGACACGAGTAAATAAAAATGGTTGTATATTTATAGGAGGTTGGACTAGAGACAATAATGTGGTAATAATTAGGACAGCGACAAACACGAAACGCCTTACGCCGAGTAGAGGCGCTGGCGCTTGATGCACACGGGCGAGTCGTACGAGTAGACGTCCTCGACGCCGCTCGGGCTTGCCGAGCGCTTGAGCTTGCTCGGCGCTGTCGGCGTCGCGCACTCGACCTCGACCGGAGCGGCCGGGTGGGCGAGCGCATACACCGCCTCCTTGACGACGCCAAAGGACGCGTCGAGGGCAAAGCGCGCGCGCGGGAAGGGCATGTGCAGCATGTCGCACGCGACCGAGACGACGGCGAGGGCGATGGTCGACGGGAGGTACTCGAGGAGGCTCATGTCCTCGGCCGTGCGCGAGACGAGGTCGAGGCACAGATCCAGCACCGTCGCGTCGGCGTCGAGGAGCGCGAGGTAGCTCTCGAGAAAGTCGTGCGGCAGCGCCGCGACAAGCTTCCACTCGAGGACCTTGAGCAGGTCCTTCTCGGCGCCGACGATGTCGGCCGCGCTGAAGTCGGCGGCGATCGAAACGGCCTCGGTCACCGTGAGCGCGTCCTGCTCGTTGAACTTGGAGGCGGCGAGGACGCACGCCATCGCAAGGAGCTCGACGTCCTTCTTCTGGACCGAGCGCACCGAGAGGTATCGGTCAAAGTAGTTGAGGGCGAGGGCGGTCGTCTTGACCTCGAACGTGAGCATGCCGGCGAGGTTGGTCATCCAGCTCACGACGTTCGAGCGCCACTCGAGGACCATGCCGTGCGTCTGCACCGTCGCGAGGTACGACGCGTTGGGCATCGACGCGGTCTGGTGGCGGGTGAGCATCGCAAGCGAGTCCTCGATCGCCTCGAGCGAGAGACTCGACGCCGTGATAGCGGGCTCTTCGTGGCAGATGAGATCCATGTTACTCTTCATAATGGTTGAGCACTAGCAGCGTCAATCGGAAGTGAGCGCTCTCGTGTAAGCGGGTGAAGCTCAAGAAAATCATCTTCGATTAGGCCGCGTCCTGCTTCGCCATCTGAGTGTCCAGTCGGCTCTCCAAAATAACCGTTAACCGGTTGCGACGCGGCAAATGCAAGGGCAATGTGGACCGCAACTGGTTAGCCGCCAACCTGGATGGGCGACGGCGGTTAGACCGGTCGAACTTTATATGACGAAATGTATCACATGCCACTCTGAAGTTCGAAGCCCCGAATTTCTCACGCAATAAGCTGATGCGTCGTGGCTCCAGGTGGTCGGATCGTCATCGTCGTCGCTGGAAGAGGCGGGCGACCATCCCAACTCCATACCAGTGTGTCCCGTAACCACCGATCTCTCCAAGGCAACAAAGCCTTTATGGACGCACCTCGATCAGCGAGAAAGGTGGTGCTGCTGTAATGCTTGCGCGAAGCAGACTTGCGCGCGTGGGCGTCCCACCCGCCCTGTCTAGAGCAAGCCATAATGGAGAGTCAGAGACCGAGTAGCCGCGGTATACAAAGACGCAGAGGACGTGCACACTGCTGTCACCACGTTGAACCCAACGTCGGTGGACAAAGGTGACGCACGCTGCACCAGAGTATCACATCGTCGCCATCTCCGTCTACCTTGCTGCTCTCGTACGACAGTGAAGGATATCGAGCTTCGCACCTTGGCCACCAGTGGCTCGCCGACATGAAAAATTCCTCGCGGCTGCAGCTGTATCACACAATCAACTTCAGCTGCTTGTCTCCTTCAACCAAGCCGCCTGGCCACACGCCCAACCGCTCCACGGCCGTGCGAGCAAACGAGACGTGTATCAGCAGCATCCAGCCGTGGAGCAAAGACAGGAGCGTCCTCCGTCAACACGCCGCTTCGGATCCTGATTGGGTTGCGGGTGTACCGGCTTCCCAACCGTGCGCCACGAAACTCCAAAGATTGCCAACCGGTTTCAGGCTGCCACGCGTCTCTTGTTTTTATAAGTTATTTTCTGTGGGGTTACTTGGTGAACGAGATCTTCATCTTCTTGCGCTTCGGCGGCGACGCCACGGGCATGACCGGCTCGGTCGGCGGCGAGGGCTCGGGGGCGGCCGCCATCGCTGCATCCAGCGACCGCTTGACGGTGGCGGGCGGCGCCGTGGGCGCTGGCGTCGGCGACGTCGCCTCGGACGGCGGGCCCGACTCGTCCGTCGTCGTCACCTCGGCGGCGGCCACCTCGACCGTCGACTCTTCTGGCGTCGCGTTCGCGGCCTCGTCATTGTCGTCGGGCACGACGGTCTCTTGCGATGCCTCCGAGGTGGCTTGCGCAGCCGCCTTGGTTGGCGACGAGAGCGCGGCGGCCGCGAGCTCCTCGAGCTTGGCGAGGTCCTCCTTCTTCTTTTTGAGCAGCTTCTGGCGCATCTCCTTGGCAATCTTCTTGCCGCCAATGTCTTCAAACACAAACTCGGGGAGGTTCTTCCACACGACCGGTGTGATCTTGACGTCCATGCCGTCGACGCGCTTGGGCCAGCGGTAGAGGCTGTTCATCTTGAAGTCGTCGACCGCGCCGTTGAGGTGGATCTCCTTCGAGTTGCGCAGCTTGAGCTTGTCGACGTCAAACGCCAAAAAGTACGCGCCGCCGTGCTTCTCGTCGTCAGGGTCGGACGCAAAGCAGAGCGGAAACTTCTTCGGGTGCACGCGGAGGCGGCAGAGCTGCGGGTTGTAGTACGCGAGGCTGTCGACGAGCTTGCGCAGACGCGACTCGGCATAGCCGCACCACGCGGCCTGGTCCTCGACGTTGCTCGTGTAGATCTCGATCGCAAGGTAGTGCTGGTGGTCGACAAAGTAGGGCGACGGCTCAAAGAGCGCCGACCAGTCGCGTCCGCCGTCCTTGATGATGGTCTTGACGACCTCGAGGCCGCGCTTGAACTCTTCCTTCATGACGCTGAGCGAGTGCACCGACACGTTGTACGACGAGTTCATGGACGGGTACGCCGGCGTCAAGATCGGCATTACTTGGTACTTGTTGCCTCCCACGTTGGCGTTCCAGACTTCGAGCCCGAGGTGTGCATCGTGCGTCTTGCAGAGCTACAAACCCATGAGACAAATAGATTTTGAAACGAGAAAACGCACTTGGATCGCGAGCGGCCACTTCCAGTTGGTCAAGATCATAAAGAAGCGGAGGAGAAGCGTCGATGGCGCGGCTGTCGGGTAGAGCTGGTTGATGAAGCAGACGAGGATGCACCAGTTGACGCCGCCGAGGTAGCCCATCTTGTTGGAGTAGAGGCCGCGCTTCTTGGCCCAGCGGCGCACGATGCGAAGCACGGCGATGAAGCTGCTGCGGTTGGGCGTCAGCTAGAAGTCGAGTGCGATATGAGACGACGATGGACAGAGGGCAAGAGTACCTTGATGACGAGCTCCGTGACGCGCGGGCCGTTGAGACTCTTCTCGGTGGGCGTGTCGACGCCGACGAGGATGTTGTCGTCGAGCACGTTCAGGTTCTCAGGGATGCTATTGCGCTCCAAAATAGCAATTTGCAAATCGATGTTGATTTCTTCATAATCAAACGTAAGGATGGGCACGATTGCGCCTTCGATGGCGACGAGGTTCGTCACCTTGGCGTGCTTCAGAAGGATGTCCTTTAAGGACGAGAAGAAGTCGTCGCGGGTCACAAACTTGGGCGCGACGCAGATCGTATCGATATCCGCGCCCGGCTCGTTCACGCCGAGCCGGTACGAGCCCGAGACGAGGATGATGCCACCGGCTTCGTTCGCAATCTCCTCTGGGAGACCGCGCTTCAAGCACACGTCCTTGACCCACGCGCGGAAGATGCTCCGGAGCTCGCCCAAGATGATCGTCCGGCGCTGGATGTTCTTCTCGACCTCCATCGGGAAGTGCTCGTCCATGTACGCCTGGAGCTTCTCGCTCATCTCGACGTCGACGGCCTCGGGCGGCGTCGTCCGAATCGCTTTGTACGCTTGCTCCAGCACCATGGCGGCCGCAGCGCTTGTCTCGGCCATGCTGCTCTTCTTGTCCTGGGTCCGAATTCGCAAATGTTTGTGCTGGCCGCCGGTTCGATATCCGGATAAGAATGTCAAGCCAACCGGAACCCCACAGAAATTATATTCCATCAATGTATTTTATAACATCGGCTTTGTATGCCACGGCCGCGTTTCTGAAATTCAGGGAAAAACCGTTAATTTGCGGAAATATTTGATCCCAGACACATACAAAGATCAAGTTTGCGGGTGCTGTGGTATTTTTGGACACAAGCAACCGCCAATACTACGTGGCGGGAGGTCCTCATCGACGCATGGAAGGGCCAAGAACCGAATCGCGCATCCTACTCGTTGTACTTCGAGACAGGAGATCATGCATGAGAAGACATGTACGTGGCACGCTACCAACGCGCTCTAAACTCGGCTCTCGAGGTTGCCAGTAACAGTCCGTTGGCATTCATTTGCATAGAGTATAGTACCATTTGAACACAGCGACGGAAGATTCTGAGGTCGCGCCAAGGACGGTCCGTCCTTGGCGCGAGGTGCTGGAAGGAGGAGCCTTCGGTTGTGGTGGCGCGATTTGGTTGGTTTCCGGATACGACCGGGTGGAGCCGGTTTGCAGCATCCGGATACGCGTTTGAATCCGCAAAATTGCGACGGCAAGATGGACGGCGAGACGAAGAAGTTGTGCTCGGACGTCTTGGATGAGTTCTTCAAGATGGAAGCCTCGGGTACGGACGACGCTACGTATGTGAAGGCTCGTCTGATATGGCGCCATGAGCAGAGCCCTTCCGGGAGCGCGTGAACTGGGAAGAGTGGGGTCTCTACGACTACCTCCAGGTCGTCAAGACGCCCATGGACATGGGCGCGGTCCGCATTAAGCTGAACAAGGGCGAGTACAAGAAGCCGGAAGAGTTTGCCAAGGACATGCGCCTTATCTGGGACAACTGCAAGTTGTACAACCAGGTACACTATCGTCTGCGCTTGCACCTCGCCACAACGACGCTGCATGTAGGATGGCTCGGAGCTCTATGCCATCGCGCACAGCCTCGCCAAGCAGTTCGACGACAAGATGAAGCAGCTCAAGCTCGACGATGGCCCGCCGTCCAAGTCGTCGTCGTCGTCGTCGTAAGAGGACGTTGCATGCGCGCGTCGCATTGACGACGATCCATAGCGTCGCTGGAAGACCGCATTGTATTTAGCCAAGACATTTACAAGATCTCTAGCAAGGACCTCGGGACGATCGTCGAGATGCTTGAAGAGCGCTGCCCGAAGGCGCTCGACAAGGTAGAGCCTCCTTGCTTTGCAACCACTCATGGCTTTCGCAGCAAACGCCGGACGAGCTCGACGTCAACATTGATGCGATTGACGCCAAGACGTTCAAGGAAATCGAGGTGTTTGTCAAGGAGTGCATTCCCGGCGGGAGCGCGCCCCGAACACTGAAGAAGGGCAAGCGGAAGAGTAAGGACAAGGACGAGAAGACGCCGTCGAAGCGCCAGAAAGAGTAGAAGCGACGTAGCCTCCACCTAAGCAGTGTACTATCTTGTATTGACGTGCTACTATGAGTGCTCCCGAAGCACCGCCAAGTTCAGCTTGGGCACGCCGAGCGTTGGCGCCGTCGGAGGAGGAGCGTTGACGTTGCTACGACTCCAGCCGGTGCCGCCCGCTTTCGGCTTGCGAGCCGCCGCCTCGGGCTCGATCGATCGTCCGCCACGCTTTCGCTGGGACTTCCATTGGCTCTGCGCGACCGGAAGGACCGCCATGGGGTGCCGACGCGCGTCGTCTCGCGCGGTTCGCTGCTGCTGGACGAGCAAGGCGGCTTGGTTCTGACGAGCAATCGTCTTCTTGAGCTTCTACACAGGCCATCGTCTCGTTCGAAGAGGACAGAGATTCGCGATGTACAGTGTCGGGATCCTTGCGCGGTGTCGCCGACGCGAGCAGCTCCGTCTTGTGCAGTTGCATTTGCTCCCTACGAATATGCCAAAATGCACTCGACTCGTGCTCGTCGCCCGTACTTGAGAGGCGGTGCCCCGTCCTTGCCATGGTCCCACGCATCGCCATAGAGCTCGCGCCCGCGAGCAAGAATCGCAGCCCACGTCGGATCGTCGTCGTTGTCGTCGTCGTTGACCATCGACGGATAGCTCTGCGCCTCCATGGCGGCGCGGGCCGTCAAGAGCTCTTCGACGTGGTCGTGCATCTTGAGCTGCGCCTGGCGCACCTGCAGCTTCTTCTGGAGCGTCTCGATGTACCGATGCAGGTCGTGCTTGCGGCGATGGATGTTGTCGGCGAACGTGCCATTGGCGACGCCGAGCGGGGCATGGTCTATGCAGCACGCGAATGAGACGCCGTCGCATGCCATGGCCCATACACTGGCGCCGGCCGCGCCGGCTCGCGAGCTTCCAGAGGACAAGAAGCACCAAGAGGCAGCCGCTGGCCACGACGAGGTACAGCGGCAGGCCATCGGACGCCTTCATCGGGCGGATCTGTCGAATCTATTTTTAGATCCACCAATTGCGTGCCGGATCCGTTGATGGCCGAGACATACACTATTTCGGTGGCTGGCCCAGAACCACGAATCCAGCAAGCGTCGCGCCACGTAGCGTCCTTCCATGCGCCTCGGTTCAGGCGCTGCGCGTGATGGAGCAAATGAAGCATACTTTGCATATTACATGCACGCGCATGGCGGTGGCAACGACGCGGCAGTGTGCATACTTGATGTTGAAGCAGAAAATGCTGGCACGATTCGGGTGGGCACGGTCTGAAAACGAAGTCGTCTCGGTTGTTGCTCTGGCACAAGCCGCGTCTTTTGTCGCAGTACGCATTGCACGCGTGCAGACCGTAGCCGCCTCTAGGTGATATCCATGCCTGCAATCCACTGGAATTACGGCTTTCCGAGCAAGACCAGCCAGAGTCAACAGTAGCATTTTAGACTAATACATCGTAGGGTAATACTACGCAGTGCAGTGAGCCAACGGGGTTGCCGTGCGCGCTCGAGAGGGCCGAGAAATCTTGGATTCGCAGCTCGGGGGTCTGCTCCAGTGGCGCCAAGCCAGCACTCAACTGACCATTTGTACGTAAATAGTGTGATGTGGTCGACGATTGGTCATTTGCCAAGACGCAACCGGAAACAATGGCTGGAATCAAGAGAAGCGCCGATGGCACGGAGGTCGCCGAGGTCGACATCGCTGGCATGCCCCAGAAGAAGTTCTACCGCAGCCGCGCCCATTGCAACCCGCTCTCGCACAACGACTCGTTCGACTAGTACGTGCCATCGCGCTGCTGGTCAGGGCTAACATGGTCATCATCGTGTAGCCCGTTGCGCCCGGTCGAGATGGACTGGAGCAGCCACTACCCCAACGTCGAGGCGCCGTACGATGCTGCACATGATCGATCATAGATGCTCAAGATGATGGCTCCTAGGAAGGTTGAATTCCTCGATGTTGGCTGCGGCTTTGGCGGGCTCACGATTGCGCTCGCGACGCTCTTCCCGACCAACTTGACGCTGGCGATGGAGATCCGCCCCAAGGTTACCGAATACGTGCGCCTGCGCATTGAAGCGCTTCGTCAGGACGCGCTGGCGACGACCAAGGCCGTACGTTGCATGCTACACCTCGGACGACCTAAGTCGCATGCGCTTGTCTAGTACCAAAACGTTTCGGTGCTGCGCACGAACGCGATGCGCTACCTTCCGCACTACTTTGCCAAGGGTCAGATCCAAAAGATGTTTTTCTGCTTCCCGGACCCGCAGTTCAAGCTGCGCAATCACCGCCGGCGCATCGTCAAGTGCGTTGTCGTGATGTCGATCGCAGTAGAAAGCTCAGTGGTTGTCTGCGTAGCACGCATTTGCTGACCGAGTACGCGTACTTGATTGCGGAAGGCGGCATCCTCTACACGATCACGGACGTCGAGGACTTGCACAACTGGCACGTGGCCAAGTGCGATGCGCACCCGTGCTTTGAGCGCATTATCGACGACGCCGTCTTGGTACGCTTCATGCATGTTGACGCTCCCACGAACCTCGAAATAGGAGGCCGATCCGTGCGTCAAGGCCATGACGGAGGAAACCGAAGAAGGCAAGAAGGTCGCGCGCAGCGGTGGCAAGAAATACATTGCTGTCTACCGCCGCCGCACCAACGCCGACGTGGCGGCCGCCGCGACGCTCTTTTAAGCCCGACGCTAAGGCGCAGCCCAATAATTGGAGGACATTTCATCAGCATTCCATCGTCCATTGCGATTGTATCCTCTGATACACCGCACGATAACGGGTAATGAACAGAGCCAGAGCTTTGGACCGAATAGGGTCGTTGGGACTACATAAAATACTAGTATTTTTTTATGCACTCGTGGTCGGGACAGACACTTGGGTCCGTCTTTAGCAGCCGATGACCTCAATCCCAAATGCACAAGTCGATAGCCTGACGTGAATGTGTCCGTCGTCCATGTGCCCAGGCACCAGTGTACCAGAATTGAGCGCGTTGGTTGGCGAGACGCCTTAATCCTATCCCAGATTTAGATAAGATGCGATCTATACCAGACACGTACCAGACACATACCATCGTATGTGAAGCACTCGGAGTCGCTGCTCGTACGTCATTCCCAAACGTTTGTCGAGGCTAACGTTACCACCCTGCACCATGAAGATCGCGACCGTGTTGACATTTGCTGCCATCGCCGCGTCGCATGTTGCTGCGGAAACCCAATCCACAGGCAGCGCCGCGCGCGGCGAAACGCCGACGACAACTGAGTACACCTCGATTGAGTTGACGCCTTCGACAAAGTGCCCGCCACTTCCCGTGCGTACAACATCGCCACCATCGACCACAACTCACGCACCTACGACGGAGAAGCCAACGACTGCGGGCCCGACGACCGCTGTGCCGACAACCCAAACGCCGTGTGCTACTAAGACGGCGACGCCTACAACGGCGAGCCCGACGACGACCGCTTCGCCTACGACGGTGAGCCCGACGACAACCGCATCGCCTACGACGGTGAGCCCGACGACAACCGCGACTCCTTCGACTGGTCGCCCCACGACTGCGGGCCCGACGACCGCTGTGCCGACAACCCAAACGCCGTGTGCTACTAAGACGGCGACGCCTACGACGGCGAGCCCGACGACGTACCGCATCGCCTACGACGGTGA